AGAATGGGGGGGGGGTAGAAGGGGGTTAAAAGGAAAGCTTTTGGCTGGGGAAAGTTAGACTCAACAAAACGTCAGTCTGCACACTCAGATCCCAAGTTCAGTAAATCCTCTGGTCTCTATTCGGTCCCATCAAAGATTTGAGAAGTAGCATACAGCATCTATAGATGGTTGAGTCTAACTTTCCAAGAAGCAACTTACCATGTGTTTGCTGTTAGTCATGCAGCTGCTTGATTCTCCATGACCCAAAGGACATTATCTCACCAGCACGGTCACTCTCTTTCAGTTCTTAAAAGCACCTGTGTTGCCAGTGAGAGGATCTCATCATCTTGTCTTTCAACCACCTCTTTTTTGATTGCCCTTAATTTTTCTAAGCACCAGAATATCTTCTGGGGCTCTTGCCTTCGTATTAAAAGTCCATTATGGACTCTAATTTTTTTGCTTCATTCTTAATGCTTCCAGAGAGAAGTCTGTTCCTCCTTCACTTAGGATGGCATTATTTTTTTGTTTTGCCTCCAAAGGCCTTCTCAGCACTGTCAGAATTCACGGAATTCATCAAGCTGGTCCAACTTTTACAGCCGTGTTACCATACGAAGCCATGGCCTTGGCAATATGGGCTCCAGTTGTCTGTGCGATGTCTCTGCACTTTAACATTCTGCCTATTTGTGTCACGGCCCTTTCCCACTAGCAAGCGCAAGACCATGACCATGACTCAGGGATGCAGACATTGTCCCTGTGAGTGCCGGGGTCTAGGAAGATAAATTCAGTTGCTACTTCACTTTACTGGTTTGTTTTTCAAATTTCTAGGCCACCCAGCTCCAGCAAGTCTTGGTGGCTTAACGTATTAAAAACAAAAAATTGACAGTATCAGTAAGACAGCATCATTCAGAGGGAGCCACAGCAAACTTTCCCCCCAGCCAGAGAGATAAAAACGAAGGCCCCAAGGCCTGGGGAAAGAGCCATGTTTTGGTGCTCTTTTAAAAGCCACTACGGTGGGGGGCTTTTCAAGAACTCCTTCAGTACGAGGCCCTCTTCACCAGTGGGCGGTGCAGAGCATAACAGGCAAGCCTGCCCCACTTGCTCCTCTCCCCCCAAAGAGCACAAGCCTCTTCACTGGGGGTTTCCCTTCCATTTTATTTGCCACTGAAATTAAAAAAAAAAAAAAATCTAAACGTATGAAAAGAAAGGGAGTAAATAAATACATAAATACATATACAAATAAATAGCAATGACAGAATCGCTTGAAGTGGAACTTCATATACCGATCACATACATTATTAAACAGCATTTGAGGTTATAACATTACAACTCTTAATGTTTGTATCCTGCTACAAATGTACACCCACATTATCTGTACATGCATAACGTTCTCTAATATCACCTGACACTTCCAAGGGTCTGGAGCACCATCAGCCTGAGATTATCTGCTGTGAAAATTTAGGGGTGCCTTGGATTCACACCAGTGCCCTTTCTTGATTGCTTGAGCCCGGCTGCTGCTGGAGATTGCAGGTTATTAAATGCAATGTCCTCTTGCAGGAAATGCTGTCTTTCCATAGTACCAAGTACGACTTACCTTGTAGGTCGCGTTAAAAAACATCCAAGCTTTCCCACTGAATTGTCAGTCTTTGTATACGGATAACACTCAGCTCCACTTTATCTTTTCACGATTACCGGGTGTCTGCTTGGGCGCAGGATGGCAACACTGCCATCATCACGTTGCTGAACAAATCATGTGAATTATAAATTTGCCCAGTCACAATCACAACCTAATGCAAGTTACATAATTCATATCATTTGTACGTTGATGTCACAACACATATGACACCACTGTGGCTTTTACCAGATGTTTACCAGCAAATTATACTGCAGATACTCCAGAATAAGTAAGGCCATCCAGAGTCACTTGTTGAGATGGGCAACCATACAAATTGATCAATAAAAATAAAGTCTGAACTATGCATATAACATTGCTGCATTTGTCTCTAGGTAAGTCACTAAGAGTCATTTTAATGGTGGCGGCATAGACATGTTTGTTGAAATACATATAAAAATGCTATGCCATTTCCAGAGAGTTTTTTTTAAATTGTGCTTCCTAAGGAACAAGTTTTCATTGCCTCCTAATATTGCACAGTAAAATACTTTTGGAAGTGAGCAGACTTTGTAAAGTTGCTTTTGGTCTGCATCTGCGAGATGGGAGTGATTGCTGATCCAAGGAAACATCTGGAAAGAGCAACCAATGAACAAAGGTCACTTCATAATGATGCGTACTACATCAGAGTTTCCCAACCTTGGCAACTTTAAGATGTGTAGACTTCAACTCCCAGAATTCCCCAGCCAGCACGCATCTTAAAGTAGTCATGGTTGAGAAACACCGAGAATAACTAGAAAATCTAATAATCATAATTTTAATGCAATGCCACATTACTTGAGTTGTGGAAAGCTTTTCCCCGAAAAAGGATCAGAAAATCTCAGTTCAAGCATCTGAACTAGCTCCAGAATCGAGCCCTGCAGATCCTCTCGTGTCTCTCGTGGTGATTGCCACACGGGCTGTACTTTCAAATACTGAACTAAATCTTCCTACAAACTGCGCAATACACTTTCCTGCTCCAGTCAGGGAGCCAACTTACACATTCCATGCACAACTGGGGCTGCAAGGACACACACACACACTTCACAGATGGGGGGAAGGGCAGACACTGGAGAATACTGAAATTGTAGACTGAAAAAAGGCTGCATTTGCAGCCGTGGCAGCTGCGAAGCTACGGTGGTTGACTCCCAGAATCCTCCAGCTGGCAATTCTTTTTTTTGTTTTCTGCTGAGTTCTTAAAAGATGCCACAAGAGGGGGAAAGCAGAAGGTGGGGGGGGGGGGGAACTGCCCAGGGTCCGTTGGGGTTTGGGCGGCAAAA